AACATTTGTTTTCTATGATTGATCTTAAACTGGGGATATGATATCTTATTTCTGATTTCTCTTCTGGGAAGCAACTTAATTTACTTATGATAATTAAATTTGTGCATCTTACCTAGAGTTTTATGCAAGATGTTAAAATAAATTTTATAACATGTTATAGGTGGGCTAACTTACATACATTATTACAAGCATATGTAGCCCATTTTTAGGAAACAAAAGCCTTTTTTGAGAAATGGGGAGAATCACCCCTTTCCAATGTCATGATAAAAACTCAAATTTCTGTAATTTTTGTAATAAATTTCTATATTTTCAAGAATTAATAAAATACAAACTTGAAAAATAATAAAATACTTCAAATGAAAAGGTCATACAGTTCTAAATCGTAGCTATTAATAATAATGATGAATAAGTGTGAAGTGGCTAAAACGTTTAGTCTAATTGTATTCAACATATCAATCAGAACGTCGTGGACTTAAATTCCACTTTGGGCATGAATGAATTAAATGAAAGTAAAGGTTTATTAATTTATTGCAATCTGCTAGATCATACAATGATTTTTGTCTTCAAATACTTCCAGATATGGAGCAGGAAGTGAATTTGGAAGGGAAGCTAGGGAGGAAGCGCGTCGAAAGAAGTATGGTATCATCAGCAAGAAATACCGGCCAGAAGATCAACCGTGGATTTTGAAAGTTGGGGGAAAGACTGGTAAAAAGTAAGTTGTGTTAAACTTGATGTTATTTCAAAGATTTTAATGTCTCTTTATCTTAAATATTGTATTTCCTTTATAGAATTTTTGAAAATAATTGCAGAAATGATCTCTTTTGATTCACTAGCCAGAAACGTGATTAGTTTTAATATTTGATTATGAGGTATTGATTGTATTATTGTATTATAACAGATGTTATTATAAAGTAAACAACTGGGCTAATTGTTGTGTGGTGGAAGATGCATTGAAAGTAAAATTCCTCAAAGAAATATTTTTTATACTTATGGATAAAATACTTTCCTGGAAGTGGTTATTTTTTTCTCTAATCTTCAGTTCCTAGATCTAGTTGTCTCCTGATGTAAGAAACCATATCATTGCATATTGACTGGAATATCTGCATGTTTGAAAATCAATCTCACATTGAATTTGCAATGAATGTAGTAAAATGTGTGGTGGTGTTTGGTTTTGAAAGTGACTAAAACAGCCATTGAGTGATTGTCAAAAATAAAATAAATATTACAAACAGTATTCTTGATCATATTTAATATAGCTATGTTGTAGCTTGTTTTTAATGGCATTCTTCAAAGCACTCTTTTGTATATTATGAGAAATTCACCAATTGGGGCTGGAACCCAGTGGTAATTTTGAGTTAAGTGTGTGTTAAGAATTTTGTCTCTTTCATCAGATTTCGAGGTACACGAGAAGGAGGTGTAGCAGAAAATGCAGCTTATTATGTTTTCACACATGCCCCTGATGGAGCTATAGAAGCCTTTCCACTGCAAGAATGGTACAACTTCCAGCCAACACAACGTTACAAAGCTCTCTCTGCTGAAGAAGCAGAACAAGAATTCGGCAGGTATAAGGATACAGTACAAATTATATTATTATTATTATTATTATTATTATTATTATTATTATTATTAGACATAATGACATTTTTCTACCTTTTCTACTTTCCACCATATGTCCTCAGATCCTCGTATTGCCTTTCACAAGATGACTGTCTACAAACTCCATAAGAATATTCAACATTGTGATTATCATATGAATTGTAATTGATATTTCTGTGCAGTATGACTTCTGATTCATTGTGTATTGTAATATAACTTTCTGGATTAGACGCAACATGCAAGTTAACTATTTCTCTCTAATGATGAGGAAGAGATTGCGAGGTGAAAAGGAGGAAGATCTTGACGATGGTGAAGAACATAAAGTGAAAGGAAAGTCAAAGGCAAGGAAAGGTGGTAAGTTCAATTCTTAGATTTGAATGATATTTTCCATTTAATTATAATTCTCTATTGCATTTTTGAAGTTATATCTTCACAAAATATCAAATTGTGTTTTTTAAGCCTAATATGAGTTAAAAAACTGGTGTATTTACCCTCTCCATTTATTTATGTATAAACATGTCTGTATTCAAGTGTCTATTACCTTATTGGTAAATTTAATTTATGTTCACTTTATTTGAAAATGCAAGACCTTAATCTCCATCTAAAGGGAATTTGTCATTTTGCTAGAGTAAAACAGATTCTCATAAATATTTCTAATATTGTAGATTTGAAAATTTCTGAAATGGAAGACTGGATTGAATCATCCGAGAGCTCCGAATCAGATGAAGAGAATAACAAAGAAAAAGAAGAAGAAAAGCCCAAAAAAAAGAGTGAGTTCTTAATTAGGCTAATTAAAGCAGTTAATAGAGATAAGGTTGCGAGATATATTAAAGAAGTAAAACTTGTGTACAATGTGAAATATTTTTATGCCTAAAACACTTTATTGGATGATGTTTATGGAAATACATCTGCTTGATGTTTATGGAAATACATCTGCTTGGTTTTTGGCCAGCATTTTGCCTGGCCGGTTTTTGGCAGGATGATAGGCAATGTTGATTCAAGGCTGACTGCCAGTGGCGTTGTTTCCTTGCTGAGAAAAGAGGTTTTTATGTACAAGAGATACAATTTTTGTCGATTATAAAAATCCAATTTTATTTTCATTAATGTATTTTTGAAATAAAGGGGGAAATAACTTTTGCCATGGGTTTCTTAATTTTTCTCATTTTGCTGACAATCATCAGTAATACATATCTACTACATGAATGTTGACATGTTCTTTTCAAATTTCACTGTTGTCCTTGTTAGTAATTATGCCGAGAGTCTGCAATCCTGCTACAAACTGTGGCGAATGGCGTTTTTGCTTCTCTATTGAACAATTTTCTTTTTGCATTGTTTCCTTCTTCAGTTTCAGTTTGTTTCTTCTTTGTTGGTTTCAGTTTGTTCTTCTTCTTATAAAACTTGACAACTTGATTACTCTATTTGTATATGTTTTGAACAAATTATCTATTCTCATTATTCAGTTTTTAAAATTAGTAGGAGTCCTTAATTTTTGGTGTTCTTTAATATCTTATGACTTTTTGCAGATGCAAGTTTTAGTTCACATTTGAAGAACAAATGAAATGTCTGTTAATTTCTTAAAATTGTATTGAAAAATCATGGATGTACATTCTGCCTAATTTGTGTAACCTTTATGAATCAAAATTATAGCTTCTTGCACTTGCAAATTCTGTGACTTGCTTGACTGCAACGAATAACAATAATAATAAATTAGTATCATATTAAGAATAATTACTCAACTAAAGTATGTGCTTGTCAGTTTCAAATAATTTCTTGATATTTAGGTTTTAAAATATTTTGTTCAATTTTTTTAAAATGTTTTCTTTTAGAAAAGGCACCTCCTAAGAAGAAGAAGAAACATGATCCTGATGACGAGGCATTTGAAGAAAGTGACGATGGAGATGAGGAAGGGCGGGAGGTTGATTATATCTCAGACTCTTCAGAGAGGTAAGGTGTTAAAGTCACATTTTACAGGTTTCACCACGGATTTAAAGCTTGATCAAATAAATTTGATATTCTGTGAAAAATAACAACACACATTCAGTCTTTTGAAATCACATTTAGTCTTAAACAGCTGTTGTTTTCAATGTCTTCAGTGGCTCCGATCATGAAACCAAAGTCACTAAAGAACTGAAGGGAGTCGAGGAAGAAGATGCTTTGCGAAAATTATTGTCTTCAGGAGAAGAAGAGGAAGAGGAAGAAGTAAGACATTTTTTCTATGATTTTTGTACTTTATTTTGTTGTGCTCAGATTGCTGCAATTCAGTGGTTGGTTACATTGAGACTGTGTGTGCTAGTCAAAACTGTAAAGAATGGGAAGGAAATTTCTCTACCCTCCATTCTATATCTGGTGTGATAGAAATATATCAAAATAGAAGGTCAATTTTGATTTAAAATAGTTGATTAGTTAGCTAAGTAATACAAAAATGTTCAAATATTTATAACGACATTAAACACAAGTTAACTATTCAAAATTTTACTTAATTGGGATAATGTTTTTCAAAGCTTATATTTATTTTTAAAAGATCAAACATCTTTATAAAAATAAAATTCATCGCATTACCAACTTCTTCACTATCCTATCCTTAAAATACTTCTTTTAATTCTCCTCCTTTATGATATCGTTACCCTTTTTCCCTTCCTCAATATTCAGAAATGAATAACATTTGGCTTTAAAAATATTTAAAGTAATGAATATTTTTTATGGTTTAATCTCTTTAATAATATAGAATGTAAATTTAGATAAGAAAAAGTTCATCTAGAAATCCACAGATTACTTATAATAGGAATAATTAATACCTTCAATACTAATAAAAGAATTTTGGCATTCATTAAGTATAGTTCACGCTTTTAAATGATTTTAAATATTACACACTTGTTTTTTAATATACTTTAACATTGTAACATTAATTTTTTAATAGCAAAAAAGAGGAAGGGGAGAAGGAGAAGAATCAGAAGATACCAAAGGGAATATGCCTAACTTACTAAAGGATGAGAAGGACAAGAAGAGTAGAAAAAAAATAAGGATGAGAAAGAAAAAGGATGGTCAAAATAAGGTACTCATTGTAAGAAAAGTTTTAAATGTCACATTTATTTTCTAAGTATAAGAAAAGTTGAATTGGTCTGCATTCCTTCTTCCAAACTATTGTCGTAGTAAAATGTTCTGTTAAGTAATGTGTGTGTTGGCTCTTTATGAATGTTGAGTGTTTCTTATATGTGCTCACATGTATGGTTTTGGTAATGACAGATTCTTCCAATCTAATGAATAGTTCAGATTCAAGTGATTCAGACAATGATCAGAAGAAGAAATGTGAGCAAAGAGGAGGAAAGAACTACAGGTATGTGTTTTTTTAATTTCTTGTACTATTTTGTGGAAGATTTGATGGTAAATTCCTGAAGTTTTCTTGATTTATTTCTATGGTGAATGCTTGAAATTCAATGATCATTTCTAAGAACCAAAATGGGATGGACCACAAAGTGAAATGAAACTTATCAATGATCATTTACATTTTTTGTCAAGTTAATCCAAATTAAAATGGTCATTTTATTCCTAAGCAATTGTCGTGAACTTTATAAAAAATAAATTTTTAGTTATTGTGAAATAATCCCTTAGATCGGTCTTAGTATCAAAATGTGTTAACGGATTACTGTACATTGTATAAAATTCCTAAAGAATACATTGGTATGTTAACATTTACAATCTAACATCCAGATATAGCATCAAATATGAGAAAAGAAGTTCACATTTTTCGATATTAGTATGCACTATAGTAACACAACAATTGTAAAAATTTGGTTTTTTTCTAGAGTTAATTTTGGAGTAGAATAAGATAATATCATCCTCTTCAAGTTTGGTCATGGGCCCCAAATTCACTATATTCTTCTGGCTATAACCTTTAGTATGACTTCTTTTTCATTCTGTTATCACAACAATTAACTTCATTTGTGCAATTGTTCTTCCTAATAATACTCTCAGCTCATGAAGCTTTAATGGCGCTATCAAGTACACTGCATTTGGCTGTTGTGAAATCTAAAAAGTTCTTAGGACATTTTGGAGTTCAAGGAGAACAGTGAAATTGCTGGAGCAATGAATACTTAAATGGGTATGTTCAGTCAGTTTCAATAAAAACAAAGTTAGACGTGAGCATTTTTGATTATTTTTAGTGCTGGCAAGTTTCACGTTCTGGCCGACCCCCCACAAAGGAAAGCCCTCTCCTGCTGGCGGCCGCAGTGGACAGCCCTGAGAAGCGCAAAGCTGCAGCTCCCGATCCTACTGCAGAAAGAAGAGTCGTCTGGATAATTTTGGCAACTGCAGTAGTATCGCTATTCCCTGGCTCGGTAAGCAAATAATTATGCATCTTTGAAATTTATTGAAATACTTTTGGTCTTTCAATGAACTGATTGATAACTGAATTAATATTTGCAGAGAATCTGGAATTACAGAAGATGCTGTCCGAAGGTATCTTATGCGTAAACCTATGACAACTACAGAACTCCTTCAGAAATTCAAAACAAAGAAAACAGGATTGTCTTCTGAACAATTGGTCAACATAATGACTCATATCCTGAAGAGGATCAACCCAGCTAAACAGACAATTAAAGGAAAAATGTATTTATCCATCAAAGCATAATTCTCAGGGTTAAAAACACTAAGTATTTGTGTACAATTTTGTCATTCTTATAGGCTTAGTTCACATACATAAATCTCATGAAAGGCTCTGTAGCCTTAATGCTCGACTGTAATACACACTTCTTCACTTTCCTATTTAACATTTATTCATTCATTCATTATATGCATCTACCTTTCAAGCTCATATGCTGTGCACGTACGACCAATAGAACATGTGGTTGTTATCTAGTTCATTAGTAAAAGTTATAATAAGTACAAGTGTACATTTTAGTCCATACATTAGAAGTATTAATTGTGTTACTGATGTTTAGTTAAAGGCTTAAATTAGTGCATTTCATTGTACATGTTCTGCATTCAGAATCCATGTGCATTTATCTTTTTTTGTTTTTGTAAAGTTCTTTTAATCAGTAGACAATTGTGATGTTAAAAGAATTTATTAAAATTGTAATGATTAATAATATTGAGTTTCCATAAATCATCACCTGAGATCCTAGTATCTTTATTATTTTCAAATGCCTAATTTTAGTGAAACTAGTTACAGAATAAAATACAATATGCATTTGTACGACAATAACTACGCATTGAAAGTGTGTAATGCAAACTTTTAAGTATATGCTCAACGAACAGCTCAGTAAAAATTACCCATGCTTTGTTAAAACTTCTCTTTTTCAATATTTGCAGGAAGCATTTCGTTTTCTGTGAATTACAAGAATTTTTCATTAGAAAAAGAATTATAGTCCCTGAGTATTCAATACTTGGGGAGATCTTTCTATGGTACTGACTGCTAGTGACCATATAATGCAGTGTTGCCAAAGGCACAAACTGTATCTACAAGTTCCTTGTCCAATAAGATACCATTATCAGAAAACTTAATAACCATTTCCAAAAAAAACAGTTATGTTTCATTCGAATTCAAGAAACTGAGTGATGACATGCAAAGTGATGTTTACATTCCATCACCAATTAGTGCTGGCAGAGGCTGTGAAACCTGCACATGTTTGGTTTATTGCATGCCAAAGTTCCATATTCTTCGGAATATAATAATATTCCCTCAAATCCCCATCTATTTGGAGGATAATGAACTGTAATTGAATTATTGCATCAGAACTGGTCAAAAGTTGAAATGCAAACTTAGTAGGTAAAGAGAATTGTAGGCTTTATTGATTAATAGATTATGTTCATATTTTCAATTAACTGTACAGGCTAAAATGGATGTTGTACGATGATAATTGATGGCATAGTTCAGCAAACATTTTTGAAAAAGTATTGTCCATTTATCTAAAGGAAACTCTTAATTTATGGTTCTCATGAGCTGTTAAAAAAAAGTAAAGATTCAAGTGATTAGAATTGATGTCAGACACAAATTGATAAAATGGGAAGATTTGAAATTTGGTACTTAATGGAGCCACAATTTATTAAGTGTGTAACTATTTCCAATTGCTGACAACTAAGAAGATTGAATCCTCCTAAATGAATGTATTGTCTAAGATGATTTACTTGGATGACAAATGATGACAAGAAAAACCTTGTGGGAAACAAGGTAGTCTGACCAAACAATTATAGTTTCTATAATGTGTAATCCAACGTGCATTCCTAGGTTGGCAATTGTTGCAGATGGTAATATAGATGAATTTGTTCCAAAAAACTGCAAAAATTGTCAACTTAATCTAATACGTAGGAGCTGGGACAATCAGTGCCCCCAAATGGTGCCCTTTTAGTTACTTGTCCCTTTTTTCATAAAAGTTCACTAGAAATTCCTTTTTTGATGAAAGTCTTTAACTGTCCCCAAAATGCTTTTACCACTTGCAAACATTTAAAAATTGGATCTTATTCTTAAAAGCATAACATTTTTTTCAAATGAAATTAATTTTTTAAGCACAAAAATACATAATAGGAGTAACAAATATTTTGTATGTGGAGTAACAAATATTTTGTATGTGTGTCAACATGAAATCAGCTCTTTTGAATTATTTTTGGTACATAGAAGTAACAAGTATTTTTGATATATGGTTTTAATTTATCAGATGACACCATTGATGATGATATTTTTGATATATGGATCTAATTTATCGGGACATACTAGGAATGTTTGTAGACATGGAAAAAAGAAAAAAAAAGAAGCAGGAATTCTGCTAGAATTTTTTTCTGCAAGTATTGTAATAATTGCTCGTCAACCCTCTGTTAACGGCTTATGATTGTCAAGGTCAGTGGTGTGAATAAATGTTAGTTCAAAGGTTGCATGGGAAAGATAAACTTGGACAAGGAAAGCTTGAGAACTGAGTACTCTGGTGTGTTCACTCGTGTTTATTATCTCGTATTCTTTGACTCTCATCGGCTTAATTTTGTGGCAGTTTGTACTAAGTATTCTTAGAGATCGCAAGACATGGAATAGATCAAATTTTTACTACGTTACATTTCTAATATACATTTCTAGCATGTTGACAATGAATGTTACTTCAACACAAAAATATATTTTTTAAATGTTCTCAATAATTATTAAATGCATAATATTTTTTGAATTATTATTCTTTTATTCAATAGTTTAAAACAATGAATGGACAATAATAATGGCTAAAAAATTATATTATTTAACATATTTCACTAATATGTATAATGTCTATGGGGTATGTATGTGGGGAATTCCTCTCCTGTCTGTTACATTTCAGAGCTTGTTCCTTTAAACATTATCGAATGCCTTGCTGTAATGTGAACGTGTGGGTGCCGTGTGTGCATGTGTGTGAGGGGCACGTGTGCACATGCACGTGCGCATGTGTGTCTGCATGCGTGCAGATCATTTATACTGTATTCTGCATTATAATATTTGTGAAGACTTGCTTTTGTTTAAATATTTAGCACGTAGTAAAATCGCGTAGAATCCAACCATTTTTATTTAGTGTGTCACTTCTCCATTTGGTCTATTAAGGTCTTTTACTAGCTGATTTTCAATTATAGCTTTCAGGTTATTAGTAGAGATTCAGAGGATGAAATCTGCACAATCTTCTTAAGTGTTGGCTATTATCTATCAGGTTTAATGCTAGGTAATTTGGGTGATTTTCTAGGCATTTGTAATAATTTCAGAAACTGAATTGGACTTCTTGGTATATTGAGGGTATAATAAAGTCATTGTGAAATGTTTTATTTGAAAAAACCACGGGGCATCGGCAAGCAATTTTAAAGTTTTTTATTGAAATCGCTGCAGTATTTCTGTTAACGTTCAGTCTGACGAATGATGACGAGAAGCAGTACGAAACTGTGATTCAAAAATTTGACAATTACTTTGCACCAAAGACTAACGTAATTTATGAAAAGGCCCGCTTTCATACTCGTTTCCAAAACCCGGGGAATCAGCGAGTGATTTCATTACGGCGTTACATAATCTCGCCAGAAATTGCAACTATGGTAATTTGAATGATGAGTTTATTCGCGACAGAATTGTGATCGGTGTCGCTGACAAAAAAATCAGCGAGCAAATGCAATTAGACGATAAAGCCGTAAAGATGATGACAATCTGAGGAGGTTAGAAAGCAAGTCGAAAGCCTTCAACAACCTACTGTAAATCGAATTGTAACGCATACAAAAATGGAACGAACACTAAATTCGCAGGCAGTGAGAAGTCTGTTGATAGGCAAAACAAGAAATCTGATACGAGACCTAACCTAAATTCCTCTCTGCCCCCATTTTGGCACAATTCGACTCAAGAAGAAAAAGTATAGTGAGAGAGAATGCGTCGTCGCACGGAATTGGAGGGGCGCTGCAACAGGTTCAAGAAAATGGAAGCATTAAACCCATTGCCTATACTTCAAAATGACAATCGAACGCTGAGAAACGTTACGCACAGATTGAAAAGGAGCCGTAGCGATTACTTCCGCCTGTGAAAAATTTGCAGGCTACATCACAGGCATCGAGATTAAGATTGAAACCGATTACACACCCCTTATCCCGATCCTTACCACTAAGAGGCTAGTCAATCTATCCCCCAGGCTACAAAGGTATCGTATCCGTCTCATGCGTTTCGATTACACTGTTGTACATGTTCCAGGCAAAGACTTGGAAACAGCTGATATCCTATCTAGGCAACCAATAGTCCACAATGCGCGGGATGAACTTCTGGAAACAACAGATTCTCACGTGATTGGCGCCATTACACACTTCCCAGTGTCATCTGCGAACCTGTCTGAAATTGTCAAGGATCAAGGAAGATGCTGAACTATCGGCGGTACGCGTCTACATCTGCAACGGATGGCCCAAGAGAGAAACTTTTCCGGACAACCTGAAGCCGTTCTGGGAGAAGAGATGGGACATCACGTGCCAAAACGACCTCTTGCTGTAAAAATCGAGAATAATAATACCAAGCAAACTGCGAGCCAGTATGTTGGATACGATACACGATGGACATTTAGGTATCACGAAATGCAAATCAGACTGTTCGGTGTCCCGGAATGTCGAAACAAATTCAAGATAAGGTAGACAATTGTGCTGTCTGCGCACAACACCGGACCAACCGTCACGAACCTCTGATCCAGATCGAACAGCGTAGTCGCCCTTGGCAGAAAGCTGGTATGGACCTATTTAAGATGAACAACGCGTGGTACCTCATCATCGACAGGTATTCACGGTATCCCGAAGCGGTGAAATGTGAAAATTTGACAATGGAAACCAGCATCGCAAAGATGTCTGAAATCTCGAGGCAAGGTATTCCGGATGAGATTCTGAAGGATAACGGGGCCCAGTTCAACCCCTTTCGAGTATCCCGGATTTTCAAAGAGTTTCAGAAAACTTACGGTTTTTGATTGATTACGAGAAGTCCAAGATACATTTCAATGGCATCTCTGAAGCATGGGATTAAGATAGTCAAGAATATATTCAAGAAGAATAAAGACCCGTACAAAGGCCTGTAAACGTATCGTAACACTGCGTTGGGGAACGGATATTCACCAGCAGAACTTTCAATGAGTCGAAGATTGAAGGACTTCTTACCGGTGGTTCCAATCAACTTGAAATCAAGGCTGGCAAAGCAGGACGAAGTATTGTCAAAAGAAAATCGACTGAACTGATTCCTAGGACCAAAGCCTTCATTAAAGATGCTTAGAGATTCGGGACGGTGATACGAAGGGCTGAGCAACCTCCATCATACATTATACAGACAAGAACCGAATCCGACTAAACCCATAAACTATATTGTCAATAAAGTCAGAAGATGCCGAAGAGATAAGCTCGCCTCCGAGATCGACAACACCCATGAAGCGAGATGCAACGAACCTTTTGACGATAAACCAGCGACGAGAACGGCCGATCAAGAAGATGAACACCCGCCAGTGGAAGGTCAACGAACTCCGCCAGGACGTCCGTCAAAACCACCTCAACGTCTCAACCTTTAGTCTCAAAAGAGGGAGTTGTATGATAGACAAAAGGCACCACATTGCGAGCGCGCCAGAAACTACCGCGAGGGCCTGACTGCAGGCCGCTCGACAGACAGACGCTGGACCTGGCTGGACGCCGGACACGCGGTGACGAACGTGCTACGCTCGTCTCTTATTCATACTTTGTATTCCAAAGTTAACTAATAAACGCCATTCCAAGTGAGTATCGTTTGTCGTTATTCATACAACAATAGGCAATGCCACGAGTGCTTTGAAAAATTGTCGATAAATTCCCGACTCACGAAGTACGGAGGGGATTTATCTGAGAAAGCACGAGCGGTATTTAATAGGGCTATTCCAAGAGTGAAATTATGTCCAGCAGAGATACAAAATGAGCCAAATATTGAAAATAACTGAAAGTTATATTAAAATCGAAGATGTTATTTTAGTATATACGCTGTTTATTGGACATCGACATAGCGCTTAATGTATACTAATAAATACCACCTCTTACGATAGATCAGTCACAGTTTATGATTGGCCATTAGGAAGAAGCTGTAAGAAAAAACGATAAACTTTTTTATATACAACGCCCTGATTGAGGAATTTTGTAAGTATAGTGAAACACAATTGGTTTTAATTTCACAAGTGGAATAGTCTTCATAATTATAGTTGGGCCAAAAAGTAGACGCCAAAAATAATTGAAATTTTTCAATTTTCGAAATTTTTTCGGTATCTGGGGACCCCAAAACATGTATTTCCGTTGAAACATTGAAATAAATTATCCGTAGCATTACATAACATTCCCTACACGTACATTACTCCGTATTATTACGTACGTATACGGGAAAGTAAAAGCGCGTGAGCCTACCAGTAAAACAAATATTCTTGTTGAGGCGCGAAGGTTTTTCATTCAAAATGTTTTGGTCTAATGTGTAATATTACAGATTACGTAGAATGATGAAGGCAAAACTCACCTCATGTTGTTATACAATTTTATCCGTTTTAATGTTTCTACGAAAATGTTTTTGCTTGAAAGTTTTGTAACAAGTTAAAATTAGTAGTTACTAAAAACTTTTGGGAGTGGAAATTTCCCTCATTTCCCTCCCCGTAGATCCGCACCTGACTTATGCATGATGAGGTAATTCTATTTTTTAATGACGTACTGTTTGTGGGACAGTGCACCAGACGAAGTCCATGTTCAGTTGGCTCTGCAACATATTTCTGAACATTACTACGTCACGCTACAGAATGGCATGAATCCCCCAGACACGTAAATTTAGTAACAGAAAGCTTATCACATTTCAAAATAAATCTATTGAGTTTATTTGAATTTGTGTTGGTATTTCTTACTATTTCCTATTCCGTATCGCCCCCATTCCCATTATGTTTTGTGCTGCATAAACATCTTTTGCAGCAAACTATATCAAAGGCTTAGACCAGAAATTGCTGATATTATCATGTTGTTTGAAACCAGCAAAAGTTTGTTAAACAATAATTAATTCCAATGAATAGTCTAACATGTTAACTGCAGAAGTATCTGGAAGACATGACGTTATCCAAACCATAATAATAAATTACCCAATTTTTTAACAAAGTTTCCACACTTTTCGTGTATATTAGTTGCATGTAAAATTTTGGATAGAAATTAGTTTTTGCTTTCTGCAGAACAATACTTGACAGCAAGTGCCGACGAACCAATATAAGAATGTCGAGGTTGTGCCACATGATTACATCTAAAAATAAAATATTATTTTCTAAATGATTGGTCAAGCCTTTTGTCTCATGCGTTATAACGTAGGACCCTTATTTTACCGCGGAGCATAGTTGCCAAATCATACCTGCCGGCTTCTTCTTGAGTCGGCCGTGGGTTTGAATAAATATATCTTACACCGTGTTTATCACTAATCTACAAAAGCTTTTTTCATTTCTTAATTCACTGTGTCCGTGACCGTGTCTCTGGTCCGAAGAAGCCCGTAGAAGTGATTCGGTGAAAGATATTTCTTACACCATGTATAGTACGTATAGTACTCTGGGGGAAGTTATGGGTTTGTTTAAAACTGCATTACGTCATTAAGCTACACTGAGCTACACGCCACGTGCGACCTGAGTAGGACGTGTTAACAACTTGATATCGCAGATATAAAGCCTATCTCAATATAATTTCTTCAGAACGTTTGATTGCACAGTGATAGCAATAATACTGTGCTCATGTCGTCGCGCAGTAAGTTTTGAATGAACATTTTGCGAAATTCAAACATATTGTCATATAAGTTGTTAGACTAATATTGGACGTCATGGGCACTTGTAGAGGAGGTGGTGGTGTAGAATATTGGTACGATTATTTACTGTAATTGAGACGTACTAAAATATATTATTATTTGTTTTCAGATTTTCGTTTGGGTTTGATCCAGTTGTTGGTTGGTCACAACAAATCAGAAAATGTTAAAAGAGCATTGAATTTAATAAAAACTGCGAAGACCAATGGATGTCAAGTTGTTGCTCTCCCTGAATGCTTTAACAGTCCCTATGGAACAAGTACTATGAGAAGAAAAAAAAATGCAAATACCTACAGGAGTGATTCTTCCATGAAATTCTTTTTCTATTTTTCCCTTTTTAGAGTATTTCTCAGAGTATGCTGAAAATGTACCTAATGGATCTACTTGCCAAAATTTATCCAAAGCTGCAAAAGAAAACAACATATACCTCATTGGTGGTTCGATACCTGAAATTGATGGGGGAAAATTGTATAACACATGCACTGCCTGGGGACCATCTGGTGAACTACTTGCTCAGCATAGAAAGGTGGAGTGAAGTATGATTGCTTCGCACATTTTTTGAGCCCTAGAAAAGCTACTCCCCTCTCCTTTACTAACAGTTCAATTCAAAGTAAATAAGAGCAGTTGAGAGTGTTGACAAAATTTGGTAACCAGAAAGTTTGCTTCTGTGTAATAGAAACAATTTTGCAACAAAAAACAAGCTACAGATTTGATGTGATAGTTGTCATCGAAATAACCAAAGCCCCCATTCTTCTTGCTTTTAGTGAAATGAGGGCTCAAGGAAATAGTAATATGTTCAGAACCTCAGTTAAAATGTATTTGTCTTGTATCACTACTTAGTACCCTTAAATTCATTATTTAGAATTACATTTCACAAGCTTGTGAATAATTTAAAAATTGATTTACTCATCATGAGTGTCACAATATTTTTAATTAAAGATAACTGTCTTTTGTCTATTTGTTTAACATTTTCACTGTCCTGCAAGCCATATGTGGTTCATAAAACATAGCACTCAGTAGTATTGATATGTCTGTGAACCACATTTGGGTCACAACTTTTATGGAAAATATTTTTACGAAACTGCACAGTTTGTGGTTTGGATATGTTAGGACCATCATAGAAATTAGAAACAATGGTACTTGCAGATTTTTTTTATTCTGGAGAATATTATAATGAAATTATTTTTCTGATATTGTGTGGATGTGTAGATGTATTTTAATGTATTCTTAGGGACTGGGAGCATATACTACTTTCATGGGTGGTTTTGCTTGAAGATGAAATTGGCAGTTAATTATATTTTTCAGGTCCACCTGTTTGACATTGATATTCCAGGAAAGATTACTTTCAAAGAGTCAGAAACTTTAAGTGCTGGCAGCAACTTTACATTTTTTGACACACCATTTTGTACCGTTGGTTTGGGAATATGCTATGACTTGCGTTTTGAAACAATGGCAAGGATTTATCAAAAAAAAGGTAAATTTGCTTTTTGTTTTATAGAAATTGCGATTGAAGGGAAGTTGCAAGCTTGTGTTTAATTTCACAGGCTGCCAGCTGTTGATATATCCTGGAGCATTTAATATGACAACGGGGCCTCTTCACTGGGAACTTCTTCTTCGAGCTCGTGCTACTGACAATCAACTGTTCATGGCAGGTGTTTCACCAGCGCGTGTTGAAAATGCAGATTATGTGGCATGGGGACATTCCACTGTTGTAGATCCTTGGGGAAAAGTACTTGCGAAAGCGGAATTTGATGAAGAAATTGTCTATGCTGATATTGGTATTAATATTTTCTCTTCATTAATAAGTTTAATGAAATTTATAAAATTTTCTTTCTTTGGCCAACTGTCTATAACAAACATTGTCATGTTTCAGATCTAAATGCATTAGAAGAAGTAAGGAAAAGTATACCCATTTCAGTTCAAAGTCGCGATGATATTTATGAAGTAAAAATGTTGACAAAATGATTGGCTCTAAAACTTGTGTTTTGATTTTTAAGAATAAAAATATTAAAAACACATGAAATTTTGCTTTCACTATTGTAAATTAGTGATCCATCTACTTGAAAACCTGTATCTCATTTATATGCTATTTTAGTGATATCCATTTTATGAAACTACATGTAAATGTAGGCTATTTTAAACAACCTGATGTATGGCTTTTAATAAATATTTTATTGAAAAATATACATGTTTTTAAATGAACATTCAATTCAAAAGATTTTTTTTATTTCTTATGGATTCATAATTATTATAGTGTTAAACTTTTTAATTGGTGGAGAGGAAATCAAATATTAGTTGCTGCAAGTGAATGAAAAAAGGTTATTGTGTGACAGTAAAATAAGTACTGCAAAAGATCTGCAATTAAAATATTTTTTTAAGCACACCAATTAAATGTTTGTTTGCAGAGTAGATTGAAAGGTCCATTCCTTGCAAGCCACGAGAAATGGGACTGCAATGGGCTAATACAGCACAGTCATCACTGGCCTTGGTTCAAAATAAAAGCTTTTCTCTCAATTCCTATGTTTTTGGGCTTAACTTTGCTGATGTGTTAATATGAGCGAAAGTAGTAATGTTATAAATATTGTTCTGTTTTTATAATTGCTTCAAACTACCATTCTTGATAATATTAAGATCATTAAAAATCTCTTCTAGACCAAACAAGAAATGAACGTGTAAAAGAAGTTCAGAGAAATTGGAAGTTGGGATGAAAAGTATGTAAAACAACATTGATATTAAGAGTGGATCGTAATAAAGAATGCAATTATAAAAAGTAGATGAAATGTGCAAAGAAAAGATGGTGGATGTAATTTTCATATTATAGTTAAATTAAATTTAACCTAAAGAAAATGATTTTGCGTTCTAAAACAGTTTCAAATTTTCTTTCTTTTTATTCTAATACCTTTCATTTATCAGATTTTTTAGAAGTTTTCTATTTCATTCATTCACATTTATTTTAAATAAGATAATAGCAACTCTAGTCCTCTTTTTCAGTAGCACCTGGTAAGAGAAAGAACATTCCAGACACCTCACAACCAAGTGACCCTCTACTAGGTTAACATTATACTAATAATGTTGGTGTTGGGTGATCTCGTTATGAAAACTAGATGTTTGTCTCTTTGTTTCCCTGCGTTTCAAGAAATGTGAAACCATGAGTTCAAGAAAATAAACACAGTTTGCCCTTCAATTCCAAAAGTCACAGTTTGTAACCCTTTTTTTTACCAAAAATTGTTATAAATTGCCAATACAAAGTACACCTGATTGATTGGAACATGATATGTGTTGGCAGTCAGTGGCAGGGCACACTCTTGCCAATGCTTTAAGATGTAAAGGGCGATGTTAGATGTTGGTTGATTATTAGAAGTTGTGTCATTATATTGTATGATAGATGTGACCAATGTATCAAGTACATACTGGATTATAATGTTATGATGTTACTAGGGAAGTGATTAATGTTAGTATTAGGTTATAATACCTAATGGTGGAGCAAAAATGGACTCAGAATGTTGTAAAGAAAAGTTTGTATGTAATGACTAACTGATATTAATAAAATCAGTTATATGTTTTAAAATAGAATTTTCAGTTGTCTATAATAGAGAAACTACATATGTTATATAGTTAAAAATTGTGTAATGTGTTATGGAGAGAAGTGAATTCTGTTCAAGTTTTCTTAAATTCTCTCTATCCTAACCCATATACAAGTTGAATCCTAAATACAAATAGAAAAAAGCATTTTTGGCATGAACTGATAAGAAAATATTCGCTGCTATCAGATGATTTGAAAAACTATATTCCTCAATGAACTAATGAAAATATTCACAGATAGACATTCACAGTGAAGCTACTTTATGAACCAGTAGCTAAACAAGTACCATCTAAGTATTTCCTCTAAAGGACCTAAGGAAATCTATAGACTTGACTTTAAAATAAGACAATAAACTCTAGAGTGATGCTGGCAACAATCTGTTAGCGAATTTCAGCAGACATTTATTGGCATTTGTTTTCAAAATGATAATCTACAAGTATAATAATGTCTGGGAGGAAATTGTTCATTATAAAACCTTCCATAATTTTTTCGCAATAATTTCATTTCTGTATTATTTGCCATAAGACAAAATAGTGTCTAACTTTGGCCCATCGAGTAATTAATACATTTACGATTCGGATTTAGTGATAATCGTGTATATTAACACTAGTAGATCAGTGAGATGTCCATTTACTTCTATAATCGGTTGTTAGAATTTATCTCATTTAATTTGATTTAAAATGCCCGCGTAAACGTCCTGCTTCAAACATTTCATTGCAGCGGTCTCTGTTAGAAGTTTACCATACTACTTTATCTTGCTGGTACGTTTTGTTCCAGTAACAAGAAACTCCGTTCTTGTTGGAAAACTTCATTCGTTTCCCACAGTCAGCGTGGCATTCGGTATTCTTTTATTCGTATAGATGACATTCGTCTCGTGTTTGTGATTGTATATATTATATGTAACCCGAAGAGCTTTCAACGTTCGCGTACTCTAAAATTTCTGATCCTTCTTCGCATTGGACGTCATACGTCATTAATCCGTGAGAAAATGTTATGATACACTCACAGGAAATTGGGAGTGGCAGTGACGTTTGAAAGGAAGCAAAATGCAGCGGCGAAGGACACCCAATAATTACACTTATGTCAGTTCGTGTGTGAAATATTTAATATTTCTCCTTAACTTCATTTTCTGGGTAAGAGTGTACGAAACATAATAATTTGCATATAAAAGTTGGCTTTGGTCGTAATGTACACAGTTTTATTCGTGTTACAGTTATTTGGTGGCTTGCTTATTGGTGTAGGTCTGTATGCTTTTGTTGACAAATGGCAAGCCACTGGTTTAGTAAAAGTCGAGACCATATATGATGTTGTTCTCAACATATCTCTTGTTATGGTGATTGCTGGTGGTGTGATTTTCATCGTGAGTTTTGCTGGCTGTGTCGGTGCATTAAGAGAAAATACGTGTCTTCTAAAGTTTGTATGTATATTTGAAGTAAACTGTTTGAATTGAAAGAGTTCATTAACTGCATAAACAATGGGCCAATTGTAACATTTCTTTCAGTATTCGCTGTGTCTCCTTATATTTTTCCTTTTGGAGATGGCCATTGCAATAATGGGATTTGTATTTCCTCATACAATGCAGTCGTTGCTGGAAGAATCTTTCACAGACAAAATCATTCACACATACCGAGAGGATGCGGATCTACAGAATCTTATAGATTTTGCTCAACAAGAAGTAGGTGAAATAGGGATTTTGAATGTGATTAAATGATGAATTAGCCATCAATACTTTTATTCATAACATTTTTTTTCTAGTTTAAATGTTGTGGACTAAGTTCCGAAGGCTACATGGACTGGTCAAAAAATGAATATTTCAACTGCAGTTCTCCCAGTGTCGAAAAATGTGGAGTTCCTTTCTCATGCTGCATGAATGCAACAGACATTTCTGTAAGTAATTATGTGGCAGATATTTCTGGGTGGTAATTGTGTGGATTGTGTAGGGTATTAATTTCCTTCAAGAGTATGTACTCAAAAGAGTAACACACATTTGATGAACATTTTTTATTTCAACACACTACTAATTTTTCCGACAAAATATGTTGCTTCTTATATACCTAAGTATTTAGAGTAGTGTCTGATATCCTAGTACTATGGAAAATCATGTTTCCGACTGGTAAATCATTTCCCTCATAAAATGTTTTAAATGCTGCAAGTAAGGTGGTTTCACTAGCAATTTTAAATGTGTTTCATTCCAAAGTTTTTATTATCTTTCGTTTTTATGATTACAATTCAGTTTCAAATATTTTTTGAAAAAATATTTTGTTTAGCTCCTTTTCTAGAAACTTGTAATTGAAAAAATCAGCAAATTGTGTAACATTATTGAAAGTACCTGTCAAGATGAGGGGGATGTCTTCTTTTATCATTCTTCAATCACAATTAGAGGAAATAGAAGGTAGGGGTAGCCCAGCAGACTACTCATGTAAAACTTTTCAGGTTTCTGTTTTCAGTAATATAAAGACATGAAGAAAATTATGTTAGCCTGAATTTTTGTGAAAAACTAGTGTGCTGAGTTTTTTCTTTTTAAAGGAAGAAAAGTCAAGTTTTTTTGTTCTGCTTGTCAGTTGTGGATATTTACAACATTGTACTTAGTCACTTCTCTTGCTGAAGAACTATTTCTTGATTTTCTAAGAATTGTAACACAAATTACCAAATTTTTCATTGCATGGAATATGGAAATATTTCAAATTAAAATATATCATTATTTATTTTTAAGTCCTGTAACGAAATAATTATACTAATTACTTTAACATCATTAATTTCTTTCAGAGTGGATTAGTCAACATTATGTGTGGATATGGTGTCCAAGAGTTGTCGGTAAGTGAACATGTTTTGTACTGTGAGACTATATCTACTCAAAAATATATCATCAAAGGCTATCCAATATATTTTGAATCTTTCATTCTGGTAGTTCACAAAATTACCAAAACCACACAATATATCATTAATATCAGAGAACCTCATTTCCTTAAATATGTACTGAGTGGAGGCCAGGGGGGCTATGCCTGTCATTGCAGTCTAGCAAATGATTAAACATGAAATCGAGAGTATTTATAAATTGTATCATTAAACTGTTAATTTCATTCTTCTTGTAGTATGTTTTGTTTATTTACAAGTAAAGTATGTTGTCATATATAAGTAAAGAGGAGGGGTAAAAGTAAAAATGTAATAAAAGAGGGACCCAGGAAAGAAGATAGTTCCTCTCTGGTTACATAGTATTTAATGTGTCTGCTCATGCATATGCTAATTTCACTTAAGTAGGAGAAGGAAGATTCTTTGCTATGATTTTCCTCTGGTCTTTTCCTTGTACTTTCATGAATTTTTCATTCTGAAGATTGTTATCAAATCATAGACATTGATTTCAGTTTAGTACACTTTTTTTTTTATAGAGGTGAAATTTTTGTAAAACGATCTTTTGAATAGGTAACATTTTCTTTAAAACAGGTAGCAGAAGCTGGGAAGAAAGTATGGACTAGTGGTTGTATTGAAATAGTACGTTCTTGGGCAGAGAGAAACTTGTATACTATAGCTGGAGTGGCATTGGGCATTGCTTTGTCTCAGGTGAGTAAATTTCTTATGTATAAATATTTTAAAAAATTGTAAAAAATGTTGTGTGTGTTTTGCGATGTCAACTGTTAAAGTTGTCATGAAGGGATGTTTTAACATTTCTCATCCTCCCCTCTCTCCCCATGTTTTATTTTTGACAATTTGTTCTTGGATTTTATTTTTGCGTCTGTTCCTTCAATATAATTCCCCATTTTAAGAATAATTATTTTGGAGAAAAATTGTCCACACTTTTTCAAATATTACTATTTTTCAGGTATTATTCTAGTACTGCTTCACTGGTATTATTCAAATATTATCATCTCTCTGGTATTAATCTAGTACTAGTACACAAAACCAATGGTTATTAGTCTGATTTTTTTCCCTAAAACTAGAATTATAATCTCTATCATTCTGGTTTGATTTATGGGATTGAACTAGCGTGAACTTTATGTACCGTCTCTTCATAGTAAAGGCAAAAACTATCCAATACTTGATTAACTGATTAACTTTTTCTAATTTGTATTTGTGCACCTGAAGGATTTATAATAGGGGTCTCTTTCTCTCTCTCTCTTTCTCTCTCCCCCTCTCCCTCTCTTCCTCTTTTGTCTTTTTGAGAATTTTGGCAAAATGGCCATATTTGAAAATGTAACACAGCAAAGTAAAAAATGGAAAATAGTATTTTTTTAAGAAAAAAATTGAAATATTGTTGGAAGAAAAGTAGACTCACTATTGTCATTGGCCCATTGTATTTAGTTGATCAAGCCCACATTGTTGTCCAAGTGGGCTTATAGGGATGTCAGTAGCTAACACATTAGTTTCTGTGACATGACACCTTCAATTTTGTAGTCTGAAGTTTACACGCATTAGCTCATTTTAAATTGACTAGACTGACCAGCATCCAGATCAAAACTTCAGGGAAGTCCTTCAGCATCACTGGGGAATGGACTCCATCTTTTGGAATGTGAATCTTCAGGGTCTTCATTATACTTGCTAGCCTGAACTCCAAAAAGGTTTAAAAAAGTTTAAAACACTGATAGTATTAAAAAAAAACATTGGTTTGTAGGGTGCTTTGTTTGCTTGTGATATTCCATTAATATGTGGTACATGTTTAGAATAGTCTTCTTTATATTAATGAGTTCAGGGTCTAGATTTCAATATGTTTTACATATTAATACTTATTACTAGAGACAGGATTTTTATTTACTTACATGTTATTTGTCTTACTACATACCATTCTCAAAATTGTAATGTTGGTAAATCATGGCTGTGTAAACACAATATCCAATTGTTTTGTTAGGTATTTTTACATATTTAGGACTATATTACATATTTTGCTATTTTAATACAATATTTTTTATTGTATCAATTTTTTCCCATTTCATTACATATTTCATTTATGAAAAGTATTAAAAAACCGGAATTTTTCTCTACTTTATTACTGTGTGCTGACTACTCAAGTAGAGACGGAGAATTCCACATGAAGACTTGGTCGGAAGTTCTCTCAGTTTGCAAGTGCATTCTCACAAAGCAATGGATGCAGTTTTTACTATTGACAAGAAAGTTGTATAAGTTTGCATTATTTTCAAAATTTTTGTAGGAAAGTTTTATAAATGTAATTTCATATTACATAATATATGTTTTATAATTAATGTATTTTAATATTAGTGTTAATAATATTAATAATTAGTGTATTTTAATATTGCATATTATATCTGATATTTCATATTTATTACATATTCTTACTGTTTTCATAACATTTAATGTACAGTCATGTACATTTTATGTATTTTGACATTTCATACTACATATTTTTCCATTGCCTGCTTATTACATATAAACATTTTAAAATTTTACCTTTAGAGTGATTTGTAGTGTATCTTTGGCCACCTATTTTGGTCATTTGCTGTGCCTTTATGCTCCAGCTCAAAATAAAAGTAAATTTAGGCATTAAATATTCACACACTACTCCCCTCCCCATACCAATCAGAAATAATAGTATGTAGCATCAATATTTTAGTTAATGTTCTTAAAAGCAAGTGTCGTTATTAGAAGCAATTCTTTGCTTCATGTGGTATTTTCCATGTGAAATTCAAAGTGCTAAAAAAAACTATTGTGCAAATTTACAGTCATACTGATCATTGAATAATTTTTCATCTTTTGCTCTTTTCTCCTTTCCAGTTATTTGTGATCTACCTAGCAAAAACATTAGAAGGTCAGATTGAGCTGCAGAAATCGAGGTGGAATACATGAAACAACGCCTCACTCAACGAGTTGAGTGCTCGGCGAGAAACTAAATAATAATTTCACATATGAGAGTACATTCTGCCATCATATTCTGGACCATGATATGCCGGCCAATAATTAAGTGCATCAGTGAACAATTAATACTATGCCTATTTACAATGAAGGTATCCGTAAGGTGTTCTGATTGTACTTAGTGTTCAGAAGCTTACTGTCTGCCTCTTCATGAAGTGTTTTCTCTTCATATGTATGCAGTTCTGCACATGGATTTTAATGCAAAAGATTTTTCGTCAGTGGAGAACGTTTCCTATTTAGTAATGGTATATGACTTGAGATGGCCAACTGCTTATGTACCTAAATTTTTGTGTGTAAATAATTTGTTGGCATCTTATAATTCCATATTTTGCTCATTTGTATCTACACATACTGTTTTGAGTTATTTGTGGAAAAATAGTTTTAGTCATGCCCTGTGATTTAATGTTAAATGACCAGATTGATGTGAAGTTTGTCCCAGTGTTAACTTTTAAAATATGGAATGAGGTGTTTTTCAGCCTTGGAGGTGTGAATATGAATTTTCCAATTTGTCTGTTCAGTCCGTGTAAAAAGATACCAGTACTCGAATTATTTCAAAAAGTGCTGTGACATGGGTCTAAAGAAGCTGCCAGTAGATTTACATGTATTATACAGACAGTAGATATACAAATATAAAGATATTTTGAAATTCTAAGCCAAAATTGAGTTTGTAATAATCTGACCTGACAGCTGTGGGTGGGAGAATCTCATTTTTTACTAAGCCTGCCAGATCATCTAGACTGTTTATTCTGAAATAAATAGTGAGCAAATATTTGAAACTCCTTGCATTTAGTGTGTGATTGAAGTGAGCAACTTAATTGGCTTGTGTTTGGTAGTGGAGTTATTGCAGAAATGAACTAGTGAGTTGTGACTCGAGCTAGGGAATAGACATGTGAAATGACCAGTCCTAAAATAATTTTAATTCAGAATTGTCAATTGATGGCTAGCGAAGTCATATTGACCTTCCATTTCACTTGATATTAAAATACTTTTGAACTATTTTTTTAAGCAATTTGTAAACTATACCTACATTTGTTTTGTTAAAATCATGTAAACAAAATAAACTATTGTATTTAATTACATTTACACATACCTCATAAATGATTGGCTTTCTAGTGAAATGTTTTAAGTAAATTTTTTAGTTTTTTTTTTTTTTTATGTTCTGAATTCTATTAATGGTGTCCAATGGATTTTTTTGTATGGAAAAGATGTTTTTATTGTGTAAAACAGATTAAGTTCATCTCCCAATGTTTTCCTAAGAATTGGGTTACTGGCTCAATACTAAATCTCTTTACTTCATGTCTTTTGCTTGCAGGCTGACAAAATATAGATTTTTTCCTAAATTTGTATCATTATTAACAATTCATTTCTATCTTAAGTGGAAATATATTATGTTGACATCAATTGGCTTAACTTTACGTAAAAATCAAAAATGGGTATACAATGTCAAGGCTTAAATTTTTTAGGGAAATACTCAGAGATTTTTGTCACACATAATCAGGATTGTCAGAGAAAATCAGTGACATCTATCTCTGGTAGCATGTGCTACCGAGATCAGAAATATTAAGATCTTAAGGAGATTCAAGGGGTGGAGGTCAGAGCTATGCATTCTGTGGGAAAACAACTAGATCTACGTGCTTCTCCGCAGTGTGTGCTCAAGCTCTGTTACAACCAGTTGCGAGTGCTTGTGTCCAATCGTCACAGAGAGCTTTGATGCTTATTCCCTTCTGTGCGAGTGCTCCAACATTATTTTTTATCTGGGGCAACTTTTCCTTGTCTGAATGATCATATCTAATGATTCTTTTACAAATTCTGCCATTCATTAAGAAAGTGAGCTAGGCATAGGTAATAATACACTTTGAAAATATATTTTCTCATTGGTGAATTCTTGTGGCTATTCTTCTGGCTCCTCCAGGATGAGAAGTAGCATTACTCCATGAGATTATGAAATATAATTTTCTCACTCAAAGTTCTTTATTCAATGAACATTTTAAATCAAAGTAATTTCATGAAAAGCCATTAGTCAGTCTTAAATGTATGCCTATCTGTAATTATCATGAACTGTATCCATTTTGAGCATTCTCATTCGTATTTGAAAAATTCAATAGAATTTTAGTTGTAAAATCTAATTAATACTGTGGCCTTTTTATATGTATACGAAGTTCACAGACTATTTCCAGATATTCCACATTGAAATTTCCTAATTTCTGTTGGGGCTGCATCGTTTCAATGCTATTTTCTCACTGCTAATTTTATTACATGATTATTTCAAGAATGTGATGCTGGAAAGGTTAGTTTAAAGAGATTGATACTTCTGGATTACCAGAATTCATCGAATGGCAACGTGTGAGCGACGTCCTGCAGTGCCAAGTGTCATGCGCCAAATAGCAATTGACTGCTGCTTACTACTCATGCTGAAGGTTTAAGTTGGCTCTCACGATTGACAATAACGGCAAGTGCTTTGCCGATTTTCCTTCAAGCACTCGCAAGGTATGACCCCAAGCATTGGTCAGCTGTTTTTTACAAATTGCAGAGGTCGCTTGATTGAGAATTTTTCTTTTTGTGTGCTAACAAATGAAGTTGAATTCTTTAAATGCTCATTTGATAATTAAAAATATTCCGTATAAAGAAGAACTAACCCCATTTATTTGCTATTTAGGAATTCTTGGACGTCGCCGTGTGGCTGCCTTCAGATTGAATTGTATTGATGTGATAAGCGTTGAGTGGGCAACGCAACGTGGGAGTAGATATTAAGTTTGCAAGTTTTCTTAAGAAATTAGAATAAGCTGCTGACACAGCTAGAGGACGGGAAATATTAATTGTAAGAATAGAAACTTTCAATTTTGTTTTGGAAATAGTAGAAAAACTGCAATTGTAAAAACATTGCCCAGCTAAGTATAATTGCCATTGACAAAGTATTTAGATTATAGGAATAACGATCCTAATCCTGACTTATTGAGGTGTTATTGTGCTGTGAATTTATTACCTGAATGAGTGTATTGATTACCCTCCAGTGAGGTGCGAAATGCGCGGTGTAGCCCAAACATTTCCACCAACTGTACATACACTCATGTAAAAAAAACACCTTCAATAATCAGAACGTTACTTTAAATACTTTATAGAGTGCCTCGAAATATTCAATATTAGCTAGGTCAGATATAATCACAGAGAACATATATCAAAAGACCGATTGTTTGAATCTCAAAAGCGATAATGTTAGGATGGGCTGGGCAATGAGTTTCTTACATCTCACTATTTACCAATTTAGAATTAAGCATGTGCAAAGTAACATATTTCTCATTCGTACTTCGCAGAGAACAATTGCATTCTTGAATGTAATACAACATTTGATCACTAATTTTTCTTTTGTTGACTGCTAAGAAAAGTTTGTTTTGCAGTGTGAATTTGTATTTCTAATTATAAAGTCATCTCAACTATGGAAGATAGGATAAGTGTCTGAACTGATTCAAAAACTGAAACCATCAGCAACATAATTGATCAAGAGGAATCATGGTTGGTGACATTTTTCAGCTTGAATATTTACAATTGGGAAGTGCACAGAAATATGGATCAGATTAGTGGCAGTTACCCCTGTGCAACTGTTACCAAAGATACTAATGTTTGCATGATTATGAGTGTGTATAGTGAATAATACTAGTGATATGGCATTTTTATTCCAATCATGTTTGTGTTCATGAAAGGGGTTGCATTAACACAAGAAGGGATAACACACTTGTAACTGATTAGAAATGCAACTCCAATGAACTAACAATAGTACTGCTTAGCATTTGTGTGAAAGTAAAAGCACATTGTACTAATGTGTACAGAACATTCAGTTATGTGCCAAAATGCATTTTTTAATTGTTACCATACTATTTTTTAGTTTTTGTTTTTATGCGTTAGTGTTTATTTGAATGGTTGGAGATAAGAATGGAAATTACTGTAAGAAAAGTAAGAAATTATTTTGAGATTTTTAAAAAAAATATTTAATATTGTTCTTTGGGTAACCTTACTCGTGCTTTCATCATTGCCAAGCTAAATAAGTGGGATTTTAAGATTATTTATTTTTTTATTAAGATTCCAATATCAGATAATGTTTCTTGTTGGAAGTGTAACTTAACAGCCAATTTACAAAACAGATTCATTTCATGACTAAATCTGTATTTTATCATGACACATTTATAAGACAGCTTTGTAGTAAAAACTACAAACTGGTTAATGGAAAATTGCAAATATTGTGTGTTCTTAAAATGTTACAATTTATTGTTATAATTTTATTTCAGAATTTCAACATCCCCTCCCCCTTTTTTTTCTTTTCTTTTTTACAGCTGTAAATTGTTCTAAATATTTAGTAGGAATTCAAAAAGAACTCGCCCCCCTTTTTTAAAATAAATCAACTTGTGGATTGCTTTCTTTTGGCTTGCACAAAAGGAAGAGTCCTCAAGTCCTAGTTATTTGGTTTAATGAAGCTGTTTGGTATACATATAAAAATAACATTTACATATTACTAATTTACTTGATCTGATTTTTATGGGAAGTTTGGCAACATTTGCAGCTTAAGACGAGTTTCACTGTATTCATGCTGAACTCTTTAAAAGTTGTTATTTATGGAATGTACCAAAGGTATCCTTTAAGTGTAAGATAGGCATGTTTTTTGAAATTCCAGCTGGATCTAGAAACTTTCTGGTTTCTAAGCGTTTTGAAGGCAGAAATGCCTGAGTTGATTTGGAAAACTTATCTTGTACTTGAGGCCTCCAAGCTCATTCATAAGATGAATAAAACAATGTATGAAGGGTTCTGGATCATTGGGTACTACAGAATAGTTATTGATAATTTAAATAATTTATAAAAGCATTGTTTACAAATTCTCTTTTATTTATTTTCCTAAAGTAAAATATTATTTAAATATTTCCGTAGCTTTGTATTTTTATGTGATATCTTAAATTGGTGCTTTACACAAATGCTTGGAGACCTCTGCAAATCCTTGTTATATCAATTTATTTAATGTTACTGACTTGTTGGGACCATTTTCTCATATTACCAAGTTACTGTCCCAGAATAAAGAAGCACTAACTTTTTCCAAATCCTGAATCTCTTTTAAGTGACACTAGAACACAGCTTTTACATGCACAAAGGAACATTTTGTAACAATATTCTTGTCCAATTATAATTGTAAGTGTTGTTTCAAAATTGATCTCTGTTCTTTAAGAGGATGTGGAAGGAATATATCTATTCCATTTCAGTGTAATCAGATTAACAGAATGTGTAGTCTCAGTTATGAGACAAGTAAAATATGTCTGGAAGTGATTAGTGTGTTGACTACTGAATGTTATAACTTGCGACATAGATCTGCAAGCATTAGATGTCGTACATTCAAATAATTACTGTAAAAAAGTTTATAATTAGATATAATTTGTCATAAACATTATTGAAAGAATATATATGTTATTTACATTTAATATGGTGATTTGATTCTACCCTTGTTGCAAGCTTGGTATATGATTCATGTTGTGCTTTGTGGAACTATTTAACACTTCCTTATGAAATTCTTTTGTATACCAAACATAATGCCTGTTATTACCAATATCACACACTTAAACTTTCTTGCAAGTTATTGCAATCTTTTATCAAGTTATTGTGGTTTGAAATATGCAGTAGCTTTGAGTATCAATTGGTGTTAAGAATGTTGTTTGAAAACAATGCACTCACTCTCAGTGTAGTTTGAATTTCAACTATCAGTATAGCATTAAAGAGAGGTCAGTTCAATCAAAAGCTTGAAATATCTAAGCAAATATTGTTTCAATATTTGCCTAAAATATTGTTTTAAAATACATATTTGGGGTGTAATACACATAAAAATGGAGAAAACGTGCTTCCATATACTTTTCTAAGGCAGTTGCCCTATCTCATTCTTAGAGCAGGCCAGGAGCAACTAGTGTTTCAAATTTAACATTTGGTGTCAAACTAATAATTTAAACATATATGAATAAGTTAAACAAGTGGGATAACCGATTTAAAGTAACATAGAAAAAAGCTACAGCTTAAATTGTTTAATTCTTATTAATTGTACAATATAAAAATTCAATTCATCAACTAGCCAACATTTCCTTTATAAATGTTATCCAATAACAGCGTGACACATCACTCCATTCATCGCAAAGTTTTGCTTATAGGTTAAATCATATATCCTTTGTATATGCTTTCTATTTTTTTAGTTTTTCCTACTGGGGGCCGGACCCATCAGGCTGTTAACACGGCACTGGTCAGTGAAGAGATTGGCATCTCTCAGCAGCGGGGAAAATGGCTTCAGAAGGGGATCACACGTCAGTTGATCAAATACACCCATTGTTCCGGAGAGCATGAAACAGGAGCAACACAAATTATATTTCATTTTTTCCCCTACATAGGAGACAGTGTTAGGGCCCTTACAATACTCCTTGAGTATTCAATTCTGTTTATAATCATTAAATCACAAGAAACAAAATCTAAACTTAAGAATATTTAATGCGAAAAAGCGAATTACAAACTCAATATCAGACATGACAATCACATCCATTTACAGTCACAGAAATAATTTTTTTTGTGTCTACCAAAGAGACCAAAACTCACAGTTAATAAGATTTCTTGGCATAAGGAACAATATGAAAAAACATTGATTTTTTTTTTTAATATTCACAAAAGCTGTTGTATTGAAGAAACAAAACAATTTTTTAGTGCTTTTAACATCTGTCTGTCTTTCTATCTGTCTCTGTCTCATTTGAATTTTGTAGCACTGTATGGAATTTTCTATAGAATGCAAATGGAAAAATAAAAATAGATCAGGTATTTCTGTTTGATTTTTATGTTTGTTTACTGTTATACAAGTGAAAGTATAATTGCTTTTCCGGGTAAATAGCCTTAAGCCGAGCCTAGTTCCTAGGCACCAGTAACAACAGGTTCAACTAATATAAATATTTTTCCTATAAAACAGTTAGCCAATCACAGGCTTCTCTACATTTGTTCCGAGGTACTAGATATGCTAGTACCCGAATGTGCAGGCTTTAACCCAACTGAGAATGTTCAGCATGAATCAGAAATGAATATTCCCAAACACAACAAACTGGTTGTTGACAATTGGTCAAAATGGGAATAGAAGAAAGATTATGATAAGAAGAGAGGAAAATTGGGAGCAATTATGCCAAAAAAAATAGTTAATTCATTTCCAAGATAAATGAAATAAGTGTTCAAGCAAAAGGGACTCACCATAAAATATTAAAATGTAATTTAATATTCATTTATCAGCTTTACCTTTTTTCTCTACGAATAAGTAATGTGCCTGTAAAATTTGCGTCATGTAGGATTTGTACAAGTTTGTGTACATTATTTTGTTTAATATTGTGTAAATATAATTTGATTATATTTAGTAATAATAAACTAATATTTACATTTTTTTTTTAATTGCTGCTTTAAAAATATTTTTGTTTGATTTTTATATTTGTTTGGTTTCTTTGCTTCTGCTATGACTCTTATTATCAAATAGGCATTGTGTATGATCCTCTATATAATTTTAGATAGCCAAAAGTTTCATAAATTATTTTCTTTATTGCACAACATTTCAGGAATCAATGCTGTTTCCATTATCAGATAGTACAAATCCATATATTTTTATATAATTATATTTTAATTTACTTTAAATGTGTGACAAAAGATGATGGTGGTCACCTGTATATTTTCAAATTTTCTTTTTCTTCTAATTCCTTTTTGTATGTAATTTATACATCATGCCAAGTGCGACTGAATTTGTAGTTAGTTTTTGTTATTTTCGTTATTATGGGTCAAACTAAGCTGAAGGTTGCGACGAGTTAGGAAATAAAAGAAGATATGGCATGAGGGAGGGAAAAAGCTTGGCTATGTTGAAGTATAATACAGAGGATTGTATAGTATGCATTTTTACATTAATTGTGCTTTCGTTTCCCCTTCAAGTAATCATAAATAAACCATACACCGTAACAACTTCGTTTGCCCGAATAATGTAACTGACTGTAGTCGAATAATCTAAATCTCCACTTCTAAATGCGCGCAAAACTTCAACGATAATTACGCAGTCCCAGCCATTTGACTGGTTTTGCTAGTTACATAGACACTCTCCATATCTCCTACAAGTTTAGCTTTGTCTAAAAAAATCGATGAAGTTATTCCACCTATTCTCCTACTGCGCATACCGATGAATTCTCATACTCGGTGGGTCACTACTTACATAATAGCTGATGTCATGCGACAGCAAAGCTCCGAGGAAGAAGCCGATTGACATTAAATATTTGCTATTTACACGTTGCGTTATGGAGCTTTTTTTTGGTTCCAGTTTCTGTTACACATTGTATTCAATATACCACACTGAGGACTTTTTAAGTTGATTTATTGTTTTGCAGTGATATATGAGAATATGTAATCCATTTGTTGTTATTGGGCTGTGTGTGTTAAGTTTTAGGAATGCACCTTGAGTGTTTCTTTTTTCTTTATATTTTTACTGCAAGTCACTAGTGCTCAATTTGTACAATTATAAAGAATTTAAAAAAACGTGGAGTAATACTACATTATTATTTATATATTCTGTAATATAATTCTCATATATAAAACCATGTACAGTATCCAATATTTGGACATGATAAAAATATAAAAGCGCTTCCTGAATAACCCCTTCAATTTGTCTTACAAATTACCGATATATAACAAAAATAGTTATGGAAATTAAAATAAACCTTTTTTTTAATTGCACGGCTTATAAATGAGTTCTGACATATCGATGCGGCTTACGCGTTTTTGAATCAAGCTGTTTTAAAAGCTAGGAGTATTCATAAATGAACAGGCAACCAGAAAAATTTCTTGGTATAACATCATAACTTCTGCAATTCCCACAAAATCTCGATGTGAATGTTGTAGCATTGTATGGCGTTCTCTGTAGAACGCAAACGGAAAAATAAAAATAGTACTGATATTTTTGTTTGATTTTATTTGTTTACGGTCATACAAGTGACAGTACAATTGTTTTTCCGGGTCAAATAGCCTCAATTCCTAGACACCAGTAGCAATAGGTTAAACAAATATAAATATTTATCTTATAAAACAAGTTAGCCCATCACCGAGAGAGCGAATTTTAAGATGCTTTTTATAGGAGCCAGACGTGTCAGAGAAAGAGATTCAGTAGAGAGATGAGAGGAGAAAGAGTTTAAAGTGCGTGTCGAGGTACTTGGTGCCCTCGGCGGCGGCCACTTCGTTCATACGAGCGCCGTTGATCCATACATACTAATTACTAAAACGTAGTAGGTTTTGCGTTGATGCGTTCGCCCAGAGAGCAGCAGAGGGCGGCGTCGGGGCAGGGTCAAAGCCCTGAGCTCTGACGGCAGCGACGCTGCGCAAGGGTTCAATAATTATTACTCCCATTCAGTATTTTCGAGTTTCCAAAGCAAACAATATCTCAATCGGTTTGAACCGCTATGTCAATTTCAAGTGCTTTCAGACTCATAATAATTATCAGATGAGGCTGTAGGAATAATGCTCTAATCTCACGATAAAAACACAGACCTAGAAAGTTGTATATAAATCACATAAGAGTCTGATGGAGACGAAGAAGTACACTTTTTAGTCTCATCAACTCTACATTATGTACTCATTTTTTGTGGACATTTTAGGAAATGTGAAATGTAATAGACGAATTGCAGTCATTTTTAAACTTGATATTTTCATTTCAATCCTGAATCGACCTCATCTAAGGGTGTTGAGTGTGTTGGTTGCACTCGTAGGAATGCTATCGTGGGATGCGCCCTTGGAGGGCGTCAGCAGCGCTGTGTGAAGGGCCTTCGCCAGAGGCGCGCCCTCGTCCTTCGGCGCCAGTGAAGTCAGCAGTGCTCAAGAAGCCACCGCTGCGAGCGCTGCGAGCGGTGCCAGCGAGGCCGACAGAGCAAGCGGCAGCGGATCCAGCAGGACCATGTGAGTCTGCGCGAGCGGCTCGTGCCTTGCGTTTCTCGTAGGCGCCCGCAATACGGTTGCGGCGCCGAAGGTTCGCTCCGGGAGACGGCAGCTCCAGGATGACGAACCCCTGGCGGAGGCGGCTGGTGCGCACCCCCGAATTCTCACACTCCATTCTCACGAATATCTTTGCCGTTAACAGTCTGCATCAACTGAGTTTTCGGGCTATTTCTGTTTGCGCGAGTTTTACAATCACATCCAGACCAGACCGCTCGCATCATGAAGGAATCGCAACGAAATGCAATGAAAACCGAAAATGTGTACGAAGTGCGATGGTCGGTTATTTTAGTGGAAAAAAAAATCTGATGAAATCGTGGTAGCTTCATAGAACCGGTAGCAAGGGAAAGAAGTATTTACGTATGCCTGCATAGGTGAAAGAAATTATATTTTCTTTACCAATTTTGTTGTAATCAAACTGATAGCTGTTCATAAGTGCGCCGTGTTGTAGGGCAAGTT